TGCTTTAAAATACTTGATCTAGAATGTTGTTTTCTCTCTCTCTCTCTCTGCCTTCCAGGAAAAGATGCCCTCCTCCTATTATTTTCTAGGGAAGCTGCTGCCCGGAACCTTTTTTTCGGCCCGCGGAACCGTGTTTTCGCGGCATCTGGGGTACGACGGGATCCATTGAGAGTAGAACGCCTTAGCAACCGAGGGGGCGGGAAGACCCCGTTGCTACGAGACCCTCGGGAAGGAGCTGGACCCGTCGGCTTCCGCTCCCCCCGGAAAGTCTTCCCCGCGCGTCCCGGACCCGCATCTTCAGTTCCGTCCTCGGGGCACAGCCAAGCCGGGGATGCTGCTGAGCCGCTTCGGCCGGCTGGAAACGGAGCGGGCGACGGCGGTGCTGCGGCGGCTCCTTCGGGCCGGGAGTTCGGCCAGGTCCGGCTGCGAGCGGAGCGGGTCGGCGCGCCGGCTCGGAATCCTGCGAGGGGCGGGGGAGGCTGCCCTCCATCCTCCCCCCCCGCCAACCCGGAGGGACTCCTGTCACCTCTTTCCTTTCTTCTCAGGTCCAGGATGATGAGGAACTGGGGGGTCATCGGTGGGGTGGCCGCCGTCTTTGCCGCCGGCCTCTACGTCCTCTGGGGCCCCATGGCGGAGAGGAAGAGGCGCAGGAAAGGTGAGCAGGAGGGGTGCCCACTTGGGATGGCACCCACAACCCGGGTCTTCCCCTGGGGATGTTGCCCACTTGGGAATTGAAATGGCTGCGAGTCAACGGAAGACACCGGGGAGCCTCCCATGCAGCCTGCCGCTGAAGAGAAGCAGGGGGAGCCCCACAAGCCTGACCCCCTAAATGGATCCTTTTCCTCCGCAACAGGGCTGGTGCCTGGGCTGCTCAATCTGGGCAACACGTGCTTCATGAACTCCCTTCTCCAAGGTCTGTCAGCGTGTCCTTCTCTCATTCAGTGGCTGGAAGGATTTGCAGGCCAGGACTCGGATGGCCAGAGCAAGGAGTCTGGGCAGCGGTCCCTCTCACTGACCTTGCTCCACTTGCTGAAAGGTGGGGATCCCTTTGCAAGACCTCGAGGGGGTGTTTGTGGTGTCTGTCACTTTTCTGAAGTCCTGTCTTTTAACCTTTGATTCCCTGTTCTGTTCATTGGATTACCTAGCAGACAGACACAGCACTTTTTATGCTAACGGAGGAAGCGGCGATGTAGTGGTGGAACAGTGTTCTAGAAATGATGCTGTGAATATGGGCACGGCAAGAGGACGCGCTTCATCTGAACTTTGTACAAAACTAAATGCAAGTTCTGCCATTTGACAATGTTAGGGCAGGCAAGTGCGTTCTGACAGCATTGGTGTCAAGATTTTCCACTCTGTAGACAGTTCCAAAGCACATGAGCGTAAAGCCTTTTCCTGAGAATCAGAGGCTCCAGGACCGGGAGGGGAATAATTCCCTTTTTCTAAGCGTCTGCATTAACTCTTTGTTGCTTTCAGCTTTATCCGGCCAAGAGGCAACTGAGGACGACCTCCTGGATGCAAGCTGCTTGTTGGAGGTTTTAAGGCTGTACCGCTGGCAAATCTCCTCTTTTGAAGAGCAGGTAGCGATCAGGGAGGAGTAAGGCTTCTCGCTATCCCCACACTGACGGTCTGGTCTGTGATATTGGGCATATAAACACAGGAGCAAGGGTTGCCTTCTTCCTCCCTGTTCATTGCAGTCGTCTTTCCTGCTGTTGTTGACCAGGCATTTTAAACTCCCCTGTCCCTTTTTCTTTTCTTTGCCAGGATGCTCATGAACTGTTCCATGTTCTGACTTCTTCCCTGGAAGAAGAACGAGGCGGACAGAGCCAGATTCCACATTTATTTGACGTGCATTCACTGGAGGTGAGTGAAAGAACAGCTAAGGAGTACAAGTAGAATTAGAACAGGAACCAAAATACAGTTTAAGCCAGCCACCTGTCCTCTACCTACCTGGGAGTTTGCCATCTTGAACTTTTGAGGATTTATTTTTCGGTAGCCTGCGTAGGGCTGGGCAGGGATACATTTTATATTTCTTTACAATGTTTAAATCTCCAACACAAGTAATTCAAACAATCAAGTCTTGATATTTCTGACTATTTGCTACTACACTATTTGTTGTTTTTCCTATCTAGGAGCCGGAAATACCTCAAGAGCAAATATGCTGCCGGACAAAAGGTAAAAAAACCAAAAGCTTTAACAGGGTTGGCAGCCTTATTACACAACAGATTGTGGCAAATGAGTTTTATTTTGTAGGTCCACTTTATCCTGTGCCAAATCGTTGGAAAAGGCGGCATCCTTTTAATGGGAGACTGACCAGTCACATGGTTTGCAAGCACTGCAAGCAACAGGTACATAAGAAAAATAAGTGCAGCTTTTTGGATCCACTGTGTAGGATCTTCTGGGATCCACCAGAAAGGAAGATGGGACTGTCTGACTTGAGCAGGGCAATGGAGGGGCTTCTCCTTCTTTGCCTGTCTGATGGCAAGTGGGAAGACGTTCAGGTGGAATCTGGTGCTCCTTTCTCTCTCAGAGTCCCCTCAGATATGATACCTTCGACAGCCTGTCCTTGAGCATCCCGGCCACCCTGTGGGTAAGTCCGCTTCCTTGGAGGTCCACAGCGATGCTTTACTAATCTGCCGGACTCCTGACCTTTGCTTGACTTCCTCCCGTTGTCCACAGGGCCATCCCTTGACACTGGACCACTGTCTTCGACACTTCATCTCCTCCGAATCAGTCAAGGATGTTGTATGTGACAACTGTACCAAAGTAAGTCTTCCAAATGCCTTGGGATCACATGGCGGTGATCTGTATTTCACACACCAATTTGCACACAGGTGTAAAAGTAGCATCTTTGTGGGTTGTGTCTTGGATCCACCTGAGCACTTTAGAAATTGTGTTGTCCTTTTCCCCAAGATTCAGGCTGAAGGGACGAAGGGCCTCCAAACTATGGAGCACCAGAGAACGACTTTTGTTAAGCAGCTGAAGTTAGGAAAGGTAAGAATTGGGGTGGAGGAACCGTGGTGGGTTTATTTGGAGGGGGAAAGGATCACCTTTCTCTTGTTACATGTACTGCAAACTCTGCAGAGGAAATTTGCCAGTGGTCCTGCGTGGGCGTCCTAAGAGCCAGGGGCTCCTATTTGGGAAAACGCTGGGCTTGTGTTTCAGCTACACTGCACATGGGAATGCTTCGTCCTGCCACCAGCAGCCCCGTTTCCTTCTCTCTCTCTCTCTCGGCTTCCTAGCTCCCTCAGTGTCTCTGCATCCACCTGCAACGGTTGAGTTGGTCCAGCCACGGCTTGCCCCTGAAGCGGAACGAGCACGTGCAGTTCAGCGAGTTCCTCATCCTGGATTTGTACAAGCAGCACTTCCCCACCCATAAGTCCAGCCCCAGGGAGGGTCTGCAGGCAGAGCCAGACCCCGGGGAAGGTAGGAACTCATGGAAGCGCTCACCTATATTGGGGGCCCTCAGACGTCAAGAATCGGCTTCCTTGGGTTTTTTTCCCACAGGCGTGGAACGAGCAGGGAACGGCAAACCCATCCTCAACAACGGCATGTGCTGCACTCCGTGGCTGCCTCCCTCCATCGGCTTCCCTTACCTGGCTGTTCCTGGCTGTGGGTAAGTGAGAACAGGGTGGGCTGCTGATAAAAGACTTCCTCAGGAACGAGAGCAGCCTGTAAAATACCGTTGGTTGGCATCTTCCATGGGCTGCTCAGCCTGTCTATGAAACACGCGGGTATTGTACGCATGGTTGAGCCTTTGGGTGAAATCCAGCCCTGCCAGGAGGGTCCTAGAGGCGGCTGCAGCCATTGTGCCAAGAATGCAGGCAGTTGCTGGAAAGAGGCACATGCTAAATTGCTCCCCTTCTGAGCTCCAAACGCAAGAGGGGAGGATGGTGGTGGAATGAGCCTCTGCCTCTCTCCCACCTCCGGCAGGTCCCCCGTCTACGTGTACCGCTTAATGGCTGTCGTGGTCCACCACGGGGACATGCACTCAGGGCACTTTGTGACCTTCCGCCGTTCCCCATCTTCGTCCCGGACGCCGCCCTCTGCCGGCAGCCAGTGGCTCTGGGTTTCCGATGACGTGGTGCGCAAGAGCTCCTTGCAAGAGGTCCTGGCTTCCAGTGCCTACTTGCTCTTTTACGAGCGCATCTGCTCCAGGCTGCAGCCTCCCAGCCGAGAACTCCGAGCCGAGGAATGACAGAGGAGAGCAGGCTGCGCACGGAGTAGTCACTGCTCTTCTCTGAGGCAGGAACACACGGCACGGTTTCTGCCGTGGAGACCCCAGGATGCAGGGAGTGCAGGGGTGCCTCTCGACAGGAGCCGGCCCGAGGATGCTCGGCATCTCCGATTTTCATGTTATCAGAAAAATCTTCATGTGTTCTGGAATACTTTCCGTTCCAGGAATTTCAAGTAGAGACTCTTAGGACCTTCCCCGTTGTGACGTTCACCTTGGCTTCCTTTGTAGCGATTGATTTACTGCCAGTCTTTTCACATTTCACGTCTGTAGCAGATTCAGTCAGGCAACAACCTATCACGTCCGGAGGGGAGGGTGGAAACGTCTTTTTAAGTGCCTTGACCGTATGTTCGTTAGCAAGAAGGGGGCCGCTCAGGGGGGGCTGGTGTTCTGGGAGGCCGGGGGAGCCAAGAAAGGCCCGCACTTCTGGCTGGGCCCTGAAGTTGCTTCCCGGGATGCAAGGTGGTATCTTTGTGCGGATGAGTGTGTTGTAATTACATCAGATTTCTTAACAGGCTCTTCTTCAGCAAAAGGAGGAACCCTCTTTCCTATATCTTGCTAACTCTGCCACCAGAATTTGCTGATTTAAAATATTTTGTACATGATAAAATTGCTGCTAAGTTTCCAAACGTCTTTGGACCCAGCATCTGTCTTTGTATATGTGAGAGAAATATTCCTGTGGAATCAAAGCTAGAGGATGAGCGTCCCAACCACACAACTTGTGTGTCCTATTAAAGTCAGCAGCCCAACACTGTAAACACAGAGCTTTTCTCCCATAGGAAACAAAGGGTCACTTTTTATTTATTTCAAGGTATGCAAAAAAGAGACACAACAGTACAGTTTGTGGACCTCAGGCCTGCTGCTGCTTGCAGAGTCACCTCTGCTCAAGTTTGCTCGAAGGGAAAGGAGTGGGGCAAGTTGCAAATAGGCCCTGGGAAGACCAGGTCCCTCCTTTGCCCCAAGCTGCAGGATCCCCTTTGGAGGGACCTCGGTGTAGAGACACGTTCCTTGAGTGAGGATGCCTCTCCACAGCTTAGAGAAGCGCCATGGATCTTGAACAGCTCCTTAAGCAGCAAGCAGACTGAACATGCGCTGAGCCAGAGATTAGGTTTGTGCAGCACACTTCCCCCCACCCCATAGTTAACCGAAGTCTGGTTTGTTCAGTTAACCCAGTTTTCTTGGCTCACAGGTTACATTGTGCCACAGGCCAGGTTCACACAACTGTCCAGGATAAAGTGTGACTGGCTGATTAGGAAGGGAGTGAATCTGAGGCAAACCAGAGCCACAAATACGGCTTGGTTAGAGGATCCAGAGGCTGCATCAGGTTGTGCAAACAGCCTGTTTCAAGAAAAGGGAGCTGTCCTTCAAGGCCCCCCCCCCCAGGGAAAGGGCAGAAAGACACCCGCCCCTCCAGGGGCTAAAGGGTCCTCACTTTCCGAAAGGTCAGATTGATTCTGGGTGCCAGCACTTTCTTGCGGCTGGGCAGGCTGTGGTACCAGTAGCGGTTGGTGGGGAAGTTCATCATTAGCAGACTGCCGTGATCCAACTGCAACTTGACGGGTGCAATACGTTGGGAGGCTTTTCTGCCCCGAGAAGCTCCGTGGCGGAAGACGAATTCCCTGCGGGCACCGAAGGACACCGAGGCAATGGGGCTGCGGGGAACCAGCTCCCTCTCGTCATCCCTGTGCTCTCCGATGTGGTCGTGCCCATCTTTGTACCTGCAGAGGCACAAGGAAGATCCTGGATCCGTCTGCTGGGCGGTGCAGCTGGAGATACCCCAAACCCCACGTTCCAGGAGGAAAAGTGTGTCAGACTGACGGGGTTTCCTGCTGTCTGAAACACCTGGGCGTGGCAGATAAAACTACCTGTTTATCAAAACGAAGTTGAAGGTGTGCCCGGTGACCAGCTGGACACGGTCCCTGATGCGATTCAGAACTGGAGTCCAGGGCTTAGGGGAAAAGGTGACGCCGGAGTAAGTGTAGGTGAGCCCAGCATCCCCGTAGGTCACCTGCTTCCTTGGGATGTCGTGCCATTTCCCGAAGATGTGCAGCTTGGTGAATTCACCTGTTTGGGGGGGGAGGGGAAACACAGCCTGATCCTGCGGCAAATAATCATTAGAGGTTAAACTGGAGGTTTCTCAGGAGGGAGAGGAATCCATGTCCTCCTGTGGCCCCCTTCCAAGCCAACGTCAGGGGGCGAGGAGGAGGGCGGGGATTATTTCCTGCTGCTCCAGACCTACCAAGTACCAGCCAGGTGCAGGGAGCTGCTGCACTCACCTTCAAAGTACTCCACTTCCTCTTCGAGCTGCCGGAAAATGTCATCCGCCTGGGCTCTGCCGTAGAGGGTGGCATAGTCACAGCTGAGCCCCTCTGCCCGGATTTTCTTCCATGGCCCGGGGGGCCCGGGGGCCACCTCTTGCTTGGCTGCCTCCACTGGGCTGCCTTGCTGGGCAGGGTCTGCCTCCTCCCCCTCGGTGGCCCTGGGCCGCGGGCCCTTCTCTGGGGGGGATCGAGGAACTGCTGGGAGGAGGAATTTCTCCATCACCCACTTCAGGAGAAGGGCCGAGAGGGAGGAAAGGGGCAGTCCATGGCAGGGAGCCTCCAGCCACTTTCTCTGCCGGCCCTTGGCAGCAGAAGGGCCCCAGGGCTCCTTGGCAAGGTTCTCCTACAGCCAAGGGGGGAACGCCAACCTACAGCTGCTGCACCTGCCAGGCCAAAAGCAAACACGTGAGAATGCCAGCAATAATGGCAAGTAACCCCCCCCCCCATCAGTCCCTCAAAGCCCCTAAGGCTGGGCCAGAAGGGAAGGCCCCAGCGCTCCCCAGGTGCCACCTTCCTCTGTGTTCGCTCGCCAAGGAGCAGAAGAGCCGTTGCAGCACCACCGACCACCCGAAAGTCCACTCCCTGGCTGGGTGGAGGGCCCAAGGCGCATGCGCCAAGCCCACCAACGTTTTGCTCGCGGGGGCTCTGCCTGGCCACAGCAGCGCGCACGCGCGGATTTAATGGGGTGGGCGGGAGGGCGTTCCTTGGTGGGCGGGTAGCCGGCATTTTCGCGCCAATTTTTTCGCGGGAAATACCAAAAGTGCCGCCGCCGCTCCCGACCTGCAGCGCCCCGTTGCCCCGGAGACCGGTGCCACCATGATCGGGCAGAAGTCCTTGCTCTCCTTTTTTACGGCGGCGCCCGGGAAGAAGAGGAGTCGCTCTCCGGAGTCAGCCGCGGCAGCAGTTGAGGTACTTTGGGGGGGGGGGGGGGGGGGGGAGAGAATGATTAAGGACTTTATTATTATTCATAAAATTAATAAATAAAAAAGTTGTTAATAGTTTATCAATAGAGCGGGAGGTAGTCTGTGGGGATTCGGGGGGAGAAGCGGGGCATGTAATTCAGCTACCACGTTTTCGCTAGCAAAGGCAAAAGTTGCTGTCTGAGGTACCGACCAATCAAGCCTCAGAAAGGTCTCAGTGGGAGGGACGCTTTACAGTCACGTGACCCGGTGAACCAACAGGAATCCACGCTTTTTAGGGAGGGACGAAGTGGTCCCGATTGGGTTTAAGGGGTAAACCCCCCCCCTTCTACCCGCAGTCCAATTAAAGGTCTGGGCGGGCCAAGGGGAAAAAAAAAAAACAATGGACGTAGACCAATAGGAAGGCGAGGGGGCGGTGTCTTCAGTCTAATACTGAGCTTGGGCGGAATGCTGGGTTTGTTTTTCCCGCGAAGTGCGCACTTGTTTCTCCGGGCCGGAAGTGTCGGAGAGGCGGCTGCGGTTGCTTCGCCCCCATGGCAGCCTTGGGAATTTGGTTTTCTCCCCGCTGCCGGTTTCCTGCTTCCCTTCCCCCGTTCCCGACCCGCTTCTTTTCCCTCTTGCAGCCCGCCAAAAAATCGAAGATCAATGGCTGTTCCGCGGGATCTCCCCCGCTCAGCCCGGAACAGGTGGAGCGCATCCGCAAAAACAAAGAGGCGGCACTGCAGAAGCTCGCAGCCCGTACCGCCAGCTACATTCCTGCGGAGATGGGGCAGAGCTGGAGGGCCTCCCTGGCCGGAGAGTTCTCCAAGCCGTATTTTGCTCAGGTGGGCAGGAAGCCAGGACTTCTGCGAAAGGCTCAGGGGTTTTTTTTGTTGGTGCCTCCCCCCCACCCTGCTTTGAGGTCTTAGTCCAGCTAATTAAAGAGAAGGGGTGCTTGTTAATTATTGAGCGTTGTCGGGGTGACATTTAGCCTGTTCCTGCTGAAAACAGGGTTAGACAAATGCTTTTAGCTCAGCAGTCCATCCTCAAAGGCTACACCACCAAGGGGTCAGATGCTTTTTAAAGTTGGCTTCTAGGCTTTTTAAATGATGCTGAATGTTTTAAGAGCCATTTTTGATAACATCTGAGATGACTGTTTGGGTATCACACAGTAATTCCTCTGAAAGCCACATTCTGCCCAGCAGAATTTGTGATGAGAGCACTGGACAGCATCAGGCGTAGATGGTGCATGTTATGAATTCTTAGTTATGTCTTTTAGTTGAAGTCTAAGTTATCCCCCCCCCTCCCTTTATATAGCTGATGACATTCGTTGCTGAAGAACGCAAGCGCTGTACGGTTTATCCACCCCAGCATCAGGTCTTCACTTGGACCCAGCTGTGTGACATCCATGATGTGAGTCAACCTGTTATAATTATCCCAAGCTTACCTTGTTCCTTTAGGAATGGGTAGTGTTATCTTTGAGTGTTCACCCTTAGCTATTAGCTGAGTTCATCTGACACAGGTAGCCACTGGCTGGTTTTTTTTAGTCATCCATGTTTAAGCAAATCCCTGGCTTAATGCAGTGTGTGAATCCAGGCATTTTCCCTGTCATCCTGACCAGTCTCCGAGTTCTATGCAATGGCATTTACTGCATTTTGGAATGCTACTAAAAAAGAGTAAAGAATTTTCCGTAGAAGCATAAATCTAGACAAAAAATAGTTTGAGAACAGGAATAACGGATGTGGAGTGTTTAAATGTTTTCTGATCTTGCTTTCAGGTGAAAGTTGTCATTTTGGGCCAAGATCCGTATCACGGGCCCAGTCAAGCTCACGGGCTCTGCTTCAGTGTCCAGAGACCAGTTCCCCCTCCACCCAGGTAAGGCTCAGCTCTGCACAAGTCATTCTGTTAGGCTCAGGGGTGCCATGTTGTTTTATAGCATTCTTTGGAACAGCTGACTGCTGAGTGTATATTGTATAAAAACGGGTGTTTCTGAGATTTGTTTTTCGTTATAGCCTGGAAAATATTTACAAAGAGCTTGCTGTGGATATAGAAGGCTTTTCTCATCCTGGCCACGGAGATTTGACTGGATGGGCTAAACAAGGTGACCCAATGCCGTTCTTTCCCCAATTGCTCCCATGCATCTCGTTGTGCTGCGTTCATGCTTCAATTGCTAGAGTTATCCAGCCTTTGTGACCAATCTGAAAATCAAAAGTCACATATTTGGAAATCATCCAGGCTGACTGATGTGTCTCCCCTAAATGTGTATTTTAATTACTGTTTCTAACCTCTCGCAATCAGATTTCTTATCAAGCGCGAAACAAGTAATCAAATCAACTGCAGTCTTTCAAACTAGGTGGCTTGTAGCAAAACCTGTCATCGTGAACAAAGTAATTGTAATTATTGTATTAAGGGACTATGTAGTCTCCATAGAAATTGTACAAAATTATGCTCGAAAGCCATGTTTTCTCATTAATGGTGAGAGGAAATAGTTCTAGGTCCGCTCTTCTGTCCTGTCAATTTTGGAAGCTGCGTCCTGGATGGGCATATAAAGTGACGTTGATTATCCAGCTTTGGTGGGAGCCAAAATGGCTTCATTCCAGCCTTCCTACTAAGGGCACCCTATGGTGGTTTTTACAATCCAGGTGTGCTGCTGCTGAATGCTGTGCTCACGGTCCGAGCTCATCAGGCCAATTCCCACAGAGAGAGGGGCTGGGAGCGATTCACGGATGCCGTGGTCTCCTGGCTGAACGAGAACCTGCATGGCCTGGTCTTCATGCTGTGGGGAGCTTATGCTCAGAAGAAGGGCAGCTCTATTGACAGGGTAGGTTGGCTTTTGATAACCGCACTTGTCTGCATGATGCTTGAGAAGGGGGTTAAGTGAGCGATCAATTACGCTCGGCCATAATGCCGTTTGCTTTCAGCAAATGATGAACCTAATCATGCTTTGCTCCTTACCACGATGGGAAGGCTCAGGCAGCTTGTCTACCCAATGAGGATTAAAATAAATGGAACTTGGGCGTGGTGGATGAATCTAGCCAATGACATCATTCTATAAAAAAAAAAAAAAGCAGCAACCCACTTTCTAACTTAATAGATGTACAAGCCTGGCCTGCTTGTGGGATCCTCTCTCTGCTTAATTCTGGCTGCTGGACAGTCTGGATCCTTCGGGCTCTGCTAACTTCTTAAATCTTTGCCTTTAAATCACGCCGGTTCTTCAAGTGCATGGGGGCGGGGAAGTCTTAACGCCTCTGGCTTCTTGCAGAAACGGCACCATGTCCTGCAGACAGCGCATCCCTCGCCCCTCTCGGTGCACAGGGGGTTCTTTGGCTGCAAGCACTTCTCCAAAACGAATGAATTCCTGAAGAAATCTGGGAAGCCGCTGATCGACTGGAGGGCCCTGTAAGGACCCTGCAACTCCCTCGAGACCATAAGAGGAGCCGTTTGGGTCCCCAACACGCTGGAGAGGCTCTGCAGAAACACCCTTGGATGGGTTTCTTTGAAGCCGATCCAGACAGTCGTCTTTTCACTTTTAATTTGGGGGTAACCTGAGCCAAGGTGTTTATTCTGAGTAGGCTTTTTTTTTTTAAATTTTGGGGCAAACGGAGATTAGCCCAGGAGCACTGCCTTGATTTCCTTCGAATTCTCCATCGCTGTGAAGAACATGGTGCCAATCCGTTCTTTGCAATAAGGACCCTGGGGGTTTCGTTTGCCCGCCTCCCCTCCCTCTTTATGCCAGCAAAGTGCCTTTTTCCTTTGCCTCTGCTGAAGAATTCGTTCAGCAAGCTGCCTATTTCATCTACGCTTGATGCCTTATCTAATTGTCCCAACTTGTCTTTTTCCTTCTTTTAATCTGCCAACGACTTAAAGACTTCCGAGAGGTGCTATGAAAAGTGTTTTTTAGTGTTTTGGCTTGCAGGAAGTGGACCAGCAGCCTGAAAGTATCCACTCTACTTTTGGGACCAGATTTAAAAAGTATGGCCAGAATTCTGTGGGAAATGTTACATAAAAAGTAGGAAAGGAGAGCCGCAGCTGGTCCAGAATTACAGTTTTCTGGGAAGCAGGTTTGTGTCCAGCGGAGGCATCGCCCTTGGGGCGCCCTCCCTCCGCTGCCCTGTGTGGGAAGCAGGCCGGTCCTCAGGTGCCTCCCTCCTGCCAGACTGGGGGCGGGGGTGGGGGCTCTTCGATGCTGCCAGGTGCCAAACGCCTCGGTTACAGGTTGTGGCTCCCGCAGGAGCCGCGGCTGAACTCCAGCAACTTCTGTCCCGGAGGAGCAGCAGCAGCGGCGGCGGCGTTTCTTTGTGTTGGGCCCTGTGCAAGACCTTCGGAGGACTTCCAGCTGGTATATTTATAATACCAATTTTACAACGCTCCTTTTTTAAAAAAAGAAGAAGAGGAAAACCACATCTTTCCTGTAACACTAGTTCCCTTTGTTGAGTTGTTCCGAAGTTTTTTCAAATAAATGTTTCTGATATTTATTTGGACTGCTGATCTTTGGAAGATTGCTCCCCTTAAATGGCATTTCAGGAAAAGGTTCAAACTCCTTTGCATGGGCACCGGCTTTTTTCTCAGTCTTGGGGGGGGG